TCTTATGTAATTCCTTTGTATTCCAGCCGAGCTTGTCATTCCAGACAATGCGAACGTCTATTACGCCTTGAACTCAAACGTGGAATCTCTGTTATTTAAACTCAAGAAAAAGGAGAGCAAAAGTTCCAGCTGAGGTTTGTCTTATTCTGGTAAGTTCAGCAGTGGCTCCTGGGGCCTTCCCTCTCTTCCCATGTTTCGTCTGTTTCATTTCTTTCTTTATCTCCCACACTCTCATCCCCAATTCCGGTTTTTTTTCTTTAGCATAGCAATTGTTTTGTTTTCATTCGTTCTTTACAATCTGGAAGCCTAAAACTACTTTTGTACTGAAGTGATCATAATTGTTCCGTGAGGATCATTTGACAGATGTGGTGGGTTTTCTTTTTGATCGCTTGACTACGCTCTGGCAATTGCTTGAACGTATTTTCCGATTGAAAGCCAAGTTATCGGGCACAGGTCTTAATAAAAGTTTCGAGCATTGTGTATCAATAGTTGTTGGTGTCACAGATGTTGTTTCTCTTGTGAAATGATTTTCTTTTTCATTAGAAGTCTTTGACATGGCGTGAAAGGCAATTCACTGCTTGAAGTGAGTTTGTTCCTTTTTTTCTATACAGGAGATGAGGCGAAAGAACGAGAGACGTTGTCAATGAAGAACCAGGATTTCAGATCCACTTGCAAATCTACTGAATTCACTGGAAAACCACCCCTGAAGTTCACTGATGTCTGAAGGGGGACCTTGCTTAGCAAAGCCGCCCAAGAATCAAGAAACAGCTGTATCAGGGAATTCTGTTAGTGTAGAACAATTTTTAAGCCTAGTGGTTTAAACGTTGCATTTCACATTTGCCGAATCTAATTCAGGAATTAAATTCTAGTGAAATCCGACTGTCACTGCACTCAAATGCAACTCTTCTCACATCTTCGACTTGGTCAGTCGAATTTTCGACAGAAGTTTGCCATTTTTTATTCGACTTTTTTAAATTCTCATTCGCACATATGAAAAGCGACGTTTGAACTCATGCTTACGTGCAGACCAATCTGCAGTTTGCTTTGTACATGTTTATGTTCTAAATTTGTCTGAGGCCCCGTCCATACTACGCTGGAGAAATTTGAAAACGAAGCTTTATTTCTATGGTCAGGCGCTCCGTCCACACTAAACCGGAGGAATTTGAAAATGCCGGCTTTGAGTTTTAGTGTGGACTAAAACATTTCGAAAATGTCACGATAATTATATGTTTAAACCTGACCCTGAAGGGTGGACTGAAGCGTTTCTGCCCCAAGTGAATGTCGCGTTTTCAGATTTCTTCGGCGTAGTGTGGCCGGGTTCTGATAGGTTGAGCACCATGTGCTGATCTCAAAATGACTATAGTTTGATTGGTCGGTCAGGTGACATGCAACACGCGTGCGTGACGTATTGGTCACGTGGAAAGGATATGCTTACGCGTGCGTAGTGAGCCAATTGTAAATAGCAAAATGTTCTGTAAATATCAAATGATCCTATATCAACCCCTGGGGGTTTGTTGTCGACAAAACTGAATGACATAAAAAAAGGCAAGAATTCTGGAGATTCCTCGAACGGAGGAAGATAATAATTTTTTTAAATTGCATTTTATGACAAGAGAAACAAATGATCAAAATTTTAGCTCAGGTATAACTCAAAATATGTTTTCAATATTTTTATATTTTTCTTCAGTTGTAAATTTGTTTCTAGATAAAATGCGAGCTCGGATGAGGAAGGTTTTCAGATTTTTATATATGAGCATATATGGATATAAGCTTTTAGCCGCAAGCCTGGTTAGCTTCTTTTTTTAACATAAAATGGAGAGGGAAAGAAATTATAATGACCCGAAACAAAGAGAGTATTAGAAACACGAAAGTAGAAGCAAGCTGGAGCGGATCTTGGGGGGCTCGGGGGATTCGGGGGAACCCCCTCAATTTTTAAAAAATGAGACATTATCATACGCTGACTTAGCCTCGGAATGCCGCAAATCCCATTTCCGAGGACCTCAATATTAAAAACTTCCGGGGAAGAATGCCCCCGGACCCCCCACCCTCCCTACAAAGGAGCGGCTTCGGGGGTCCGTATCTTAAACCCCCTTCTCTAACATCCTATATTCGCCCCAGGAACAAGGGAACAATTCATTGAACTCACTCTGTCGCTCATTTTAGCAGTCAATTTCATTCGTTATTTTGTGTTGGAAAAACGTTTACTTTTCGGACGTTTTCGACTGACAAGTGCAATGTTTGATTGCTGACTCGTGCGACAGAGTAAACTCTAATACGAAAGTAGATCTCTCAGTTCTCGCAATTTTATTTTTCAACAAATGCCATGAAAATAAAATTTGAGAGCACAAATGGTTCCTTTGATGGTTTTGTTTTGTTGTTTTATGTCTTAACCTGATTATGCACTATTGTGCTAGGAACTTTGATGACAATGCAACAAACATCTCTAATTTTCTTGTCCACCACTCCTTCCCTCATTTTCGCGCTAGAGCTACAGAAGTAAGTCGGAAATAAGCTTAATAGCAAAAAGACCCAATATGACCCTGGTATATATTTTATAGAGTAACGCTATTCGCCCAACAGCAACATATGACCGTCACAAAGTACTAGGAAGTAAAGCAATTTTTTTCTAAATCCTGAAATGAAGTTTATCAGTACATAATTTATGTAGAAAAAAATGTCAATAAGACGAAAATTTTAGGTTTGTAATATTTAAGAGACACCCAGTTGATCAGCAACCGAACATTTCTACTGTACGTATTTCAGTGACGTAGGATGTGCTAGTCTGATATGAGAGTCTTCACGTTTGTTCCTGTGTGACTGTATCGTGACATTGGTGTCATGGCACTGAATTTCCATTTCAGCCTTTTCAGGAGGGGATTTTCTTTAAGTTGGACTCTCCACGACCCTTTATATAAACCTTTGAACATTTTTTTTTCTTTTGATCACTGCTTTGTGATCGGTGTGGTTGGCTGGTTGGGTTCTTTGTCTCGACACATACGAAAATCGCGTGACATAGTCATGCTCCTTGTCGAGCAATCGTCTTTAATGTTCTTGTCCCCCATTCCTTCTTTCATTTTCGCGCAAGCGCTACAGATGCAATTCTGAAATAACCTTGATCATACGAAAACCGAATATGACCCTGGTATATATTTAGAGTAACGTTATCGGCACACCAACAACAAAGGACCGTCAAAGTACTCGGAAGTAAAGCAATATTTTTCTAAATCCTGAAATGAAACTTATCAGTACATGATTTATGTAGAAAAAAATCGAAATAAGACGAAAATTTAAGGTTTGTAATATCTGAGAAACACTCAGTTGATCAGCAACCGAACATTTCTGTTGTACGGGTTTCAGTAACGCGGGATGTACTAGTCTGATATGAAAGTCTTCCATGCTTGTTCCTGTGTGTCTGTATCGTTGTGTGACATTGGTTTTCACGGTACTGAGTTTCCATTTCAGCCTTTTCAGGAATGTTTTTTTTTTTTAAGTTGGACTTTCCAAGACCCATTATATAAACCTTTGAACAGTTTTTTCTTCTGATCACTGCTTTGTGATCGGTGTGGTTGGTTGGTTGGGTTCTTTGTCTCGACACATACGAAAATCGCGTGACATATAGTCATGTTCCTTGTCGAGAAATCGTCTCTAATTTTCTTGTCCCCCATTCGCTCCCTCATTTTCGCGCAAGCGCTACAGATGCAATTCTGAAATAACCTTAATCATACAAAACCCAATATGACCCCGGTATATATTTAGAGTAACGCTATCGGCCCGGAAGTAATCCTGAAATGAAACTTATCAGTTTCCACAATTTATGTAGAAAAAAATCTAAATAGGACGAAAATTTTAGGTTTTGTAATATTTGAGAAACACTCAGTTGATCAGCAACCGAACATTTCTGCTGTACGTGTTTCAGTAACGTGGGATGTGCTAGTCTGATATGAGAGTCTTCAGTGAAGTCTTCCGCGTTCGTGTGTGTCTGTATCGTTGTGTGACATTGGTTTTCACGGTACTGAGTTTCCATTTCAGCCTTTTCAGGAAGGG